AAAAAAAAAAAAAAAGAAATGGAGTTTGAATAAAAGCAAAGGACACAAGGAAGGCAGGCATGCCATCTCTCCAAGTCTGTCCACGTCTAGGATGCAGCAAAAGACAGATTTACAAGACTCACGCTGAATCCAGTCATTGTCATTGGTCATTTCCAGATCTACTTTACAACATAGATTTGTGCAATTTTCACATGCCATCTTCAATGGGACATTAACAACTCCACTTACTTCATACCCCAACAACCACACCAGCTTGATTAGAAAGCAGCCCCTCACTACTTAGAGGAACACGCAAACTAAGATGCTGTTATGACTAAGCTAATTGGACAAACTGCCCACCTTTAAATAAAAAACCCACCGTGGTATCGCTTCTTAAAAGTTACTCAAATCCAATTACCACAGTTTCGTACGACTTACACACATCATGACACAAAGAAGCATGTTCAGTGTTGGCAGAACAGCTGCCTAGAGCAGTAAAAGATATGAGCAAGGGATCTGTTGACAATCTAATTTCAGCTACCTCGAGATTCCAGAAAGATGACAAATTGCACCCTCAGAAATAGGGCTGCAAGCCTCCCTCACTATCAGAACATTCTGGCTTTCTTATTGTCTACATGTTGAGCCACTCTGAAAATGTGTCCATCCCATATAATATACTAACTGGAGGCTTCCACACTGCTGAAACAGTGGCCTTACCAATCCTCAGATACGCCTGTGCACAAGGCATCATCAGGCTGTCCACTGTCAGGGCACCAGACGTAGAAAAATACAAAAACACCACATTTCACCTCACCAAGTATGGAATCTTGGAGACAGTTTACCTTGGACGTTCATTTAACAATTTACCAAGGAGAAAAGTGATCTGGGAGTTCGATTCTGGCTTTAGGGCCGGGAATGTTTTGCGTTGCATGAACAATGACTAGCTTGCTCCAGCAGCCTCCCAACCCCCACAACTTGGCTTCTGGTTTGGCCAGTCACCCTGAAAGCTGCCAGGGCTGTCACTTGGTGCCTTCCAGCAACTAGACTTGGCTCCTAAAGGATTTGTCAGATCATCCTCCCAATATGGCTGCCAGAGTAATCCCAGTCTGCTGAGCACCGAGCCCACACCAGCCTCGCTCACAACCGGCCAGCATCCAACAAGCCCCCTCCCTTTCCATCGCACCCCTGCTTTCCAGGGCTTGCGGCCTCGGCTACCCTCCTGTGCCACGCGATGACCTTTCGTACCTTGATCCGGCAAAAGGGCACAACCACAATCGCAGCCGAAGCCCGATGCCAACCGTAATGGGGAGCTGGGAGAGGGTAAATAAAAAAGGATGGCTTTGAGCGGAGCAGTGCTCTCCCCACAGCTGCAACGTGCGCACGGAGCCCAGGGAACCGCCGGCGGCGGAGTCGGCTGACCGCGGTGCAGAGCTCGAGCGGCAGAGCCGAAGCCTGGCAGCTCCGGGGAGACCGAGGGCCGGTGCGGAGCACTGCGGGGGATCCAGCAGGCCGCTGGACGCGCGCCCGGGACTCGCTGCCGGCGGGGGAGGGGCCCCGTTCCCCCGAGGGCGAGGCTCCCCCAGCCGGTGCCCCCAGCGCCCACTCGGGCGCGGCGCTTCCTCCCCTCGGACCCCGCCCGGACCCTGGCCCGCCCCTCCGACCAGGAGTGGGCCCCTCCCCGGCCTGGCGGCCGCTACGCCCACCACCACCCACCCTGCCGCCTCACCTCAGCCGCGCTGCGGGCGGACGGACGGGCGTGCGGGTCGGTCAGCAGGAGCCGCGGCGGACCCGGCACCGACGCACCTCAGCGCGAGCAGCGGCCGCCGCGAGCCGCAGGGCGCCGCTCCGCAGCCCCATCACGCAGCGGCCCTACTCGGCATCAAGAACGGCTGCGGGCACCGGACGGGAGCGCGGGAGGCCGGGGCAAGGCGACAGGCCGGCGGTGGCGACTGCCGCGGACCCTGAGCGAGTCAGAGGCGCGCGGGCGCCTCGCAGAACCGCTGCCGTCTGACCGCCCCGCGTCGGTCCTCGCGAAACTCCGCCCGCAGCCGCCGGTGCGGGACACCGCCCCAAGCCGAGCCGCTGCGCGTCACCTGGGCCCGCCCGGACGCTTGCGACTGACACGAGCTGCGGCCAATCGAAGTGCAGAGCTCGGGGCGGCCGGCCAATCGCAGGGGTAGCCGGGGAACGGGCGGCTGCAAGGAGCTGCGGAGACACCCGAGCGCCGCCTAGTGGCCCGGGAGCCGGCGCGGATACGGGAGTGCGGGGTGGCTGAAGGGTTCTCTCTCGCTCGGGTGACCCCCAAAGGGCGTTGGTCGGCACCAGCCACTTCTACCTACTCTGATAATCCTCCTCGTAAAGAGGCGAAAGGTTGACCGTGTGGGGCGGAGCGGGGTGAAGGGGGTGCAGACGCCGGCGGAGGAGCCGGGTGCGCGTGGGAGGCGGCCGGGAGTGCAGTCATTGTCCGTTTTGAAAACATCTCACGCGTTGAACCGGCCCAACGCGGCGCGGTGGGAACTGAGACACGCCAAGGGATGAGTGTATCCCGCAGAAAGCTTCCTGGCCTATTCTTGTCGAACCCGAGCACAACACCTCCCACACGCCACCTTGGGAGAAAAGGCGGAATGAGTAATAGAAAAGCATGACTTAGTGGGCATTCAACTTGTCTCCTTGGGAGACCGCGTAAGGGCTGTGAGTAAAGGAACGAAAGGCTTTGTATGGCCCCTGAGTTAATGAGCCCCGCTCCCCTCTGTGAGATGCCCTTGAAGGAGGGTTACTGGAATTCAGAAACCCGAAGAACACAAAAGCTCTAGGAGTGATTTTTTTTTTAAATGAGATTTAGATTCAGCTGTAGAAAAATCCCACAACTGTTCATAAACAGGTTAATTCAGTACTTAATAAATTACAATATTCAGTGATAATATATGCAGTTATCAGGCCCAGGCCGAGCACTTAATTTATAAGGTTGTGAGCGTGTGAAATGCTTTTTGATTGACAAGCAGAAATTGAATGTAAAATCAGTTTTTGTCTTGAATTCAATGCAGTATCATTGGACATAAAAAGGACTTACTTATAAGCATACACACCAAACATCGAAATTAATCTTCTGCACTAGTGATGCTGGAAAATCTCCACCACCACCCCCAAAGTCTCCTGACTCGCCATCCACTCAACATTTATTGAACACTTCTGATTTAGAATTTAAACTCCACCTACTGGCAAAAGGGTTTGGCATAGCTTATACTGAAGCATACAAGCAATAAAACTGCATAACATTAAAATAGGAGTAAAATTCATAACAACAGTAACAATGAAGTAATAAAAGGCTATGAAAAAAAGCTACCTGATTAAGGGAAGTGAATACAAAGAAAAGTAACATTTAAAACCAGAGGCTGAGCACAGTGGCTCACACCTGTAATCCCAGCACTTTAAGAGGCCAAAGGAGGATTACTTGAGGCCAAGAGTTCAAAACCAGCTTGGGCAGCATAGCAAGACCACCGTCTCTACAAAAAATAAAATTTAAAGGTAGCTGGGTATGTTGGCTTGTACCTATAGCCCCAGCTATTGGAGAGGAAGACCTCTTGAGCCCAGGAGTTCTAGGCTGCAATGAGCTATGTTTGCTCCACTGCTCTCTAGCCTGGTGACAAAGCAAGACACCGTCTAAAAAAAAAAAACGAGAGAGAGAGGAAAAAACAGAGTCAAGGAAATATGCTATTACTGAGCTAAAACTTAGCTCTTAGCTTCCTGGAGGGCAAGATAAAATTGAAACCACCATGGGTTAATAAACAGAAGCTTATCGATTCCACAGTAGGCACCACTTGGCCATAGCTTGGAGCTCTTTGTGTAAGTACTATGATAAGCACCTTGGAGAGTTACAGAAACCTGGATGGTAGTTAGTGTTGCTGGAGCTCTCAAGGGAGCACAATCTGAAAAGAATCTAAAACGTAGCGAAGAGAGTGTGCTGATAATCAGCACTGGAAGAATTAAGCAAAAGCGCACAGAGAAGGATCAAAAACGGCAGATGAGGCTGCTCTAGGTTCCAAGTTCAAAATAGCCTGCTCTACATACGCCTTCTGCCACTCTGACAAATGAAGTCATTCCTGCACATCCATTCAGTTTCTCAGATTACAAACTTTGACCAAAAGCACCTCTTTAAAATTGTAAATAAATGACTAGAAAATTGAAGTTAGCCATGGCATGGTACTGTTATCCCTGGAATGCAAGGAGAAGACAACATTCAAAGATCAATGAGTGTGGTGCAAACAGCCATACTACTACAACAAATAAGGTTTCTGACTTTTTTTTGAGACCAAATCTCACTTTGGCGCCCTCAGTCAAGTGTGGCGGCATCATAGCTCCCAGCAACCTCAAACTTAGGCTCCAAGTGATTCTCTAGCCTCAGCCTCCAGAGTAGCTAGGATAACACACACACACACACCCCTCATAACGCCTGGCTATTTTTAGAGACAAGGTCTGGCTCTGGCTCAGGCTGATCTCAAACCTGTGAGGTCAGGCAATCTACCCGCCTTTGTCTCCCAGAGTGCTAAGATTACAGGCATGAGCCACCATGCTCAGCCTAAGGGTTCTGATTTTTGTTTTTCATTTTGTTTTTGAAATAGAGTCTTATGGCTCGGCGCCTATAGCTCAACCGGCTAAGGCGCCAGCCACGTACACCTAAGCTGTCGGGTTCGAATCCCCAGCCCGGACCCGCCAAACAACGATGATGGCTGCAACCAAAAAATAGCCGGGCGTTGTGGCGGG